TTAGGAAAGGAATTGAAAATTGTGTAATTTTTTTCATATAAATATATAAGATTATAAACAGAACTTTTACCTCCTCAAAATGTAGTAAAGCAAAACTTTTATGTGCATGCATAAATGTATGTATGTACAATATGAACTGGCATGTATGTATATAAAAGCAAAATTTGTAACACAATTCTCCATAAGATTATTTAGTTGTGGTAAAAGCAAGAAAGAAGACATAAAATGTACATGGTATGGAAAAGTTAAAAGTTCTTTTCCATTGAAATTAAACACTGGGAGATTCAGAACAAAACATTTGCACACACACATAATCAAGATATGGAATTTGTTCCCCTTAAGTATTACAACTGTCATTGTAGATGGTTTGAAAAAATTAAATGGCTTATAACAGTGTAGGATAGCTTTACCCATACTCCTCTATTACTAGCTAAACAGACTGGAAGTGTCAGGAAATAATATCCATTAAAAATATCCAGTTACTGAAATTGTTGAGATTTCCACTGTACAAACTCATTATTAAATCTATTTCCACTTACGGAAGTCAGTTTGCATCACCAAATATTTTCTCAGGCATTGAAATGCAGAGACTTCACTGGTCTGAGGATGTTTGTTTTGGGAGAAAAAAAACATCTTCCTCTTTTTCCTAAATAGAATCCAATTTTCTTTTTTATCAACTTCTTGTAAGAAAAACAGAAAAAACACTACAAACATGTTCAGGAACCTCCAATATGTAATATGTGGATTCAGGATTCTTATAATTTCAGACTACTGTCAAGGGTAGGCACAGGAGGGGCAGAGGAATTTTATTTTCCTTAAATGGAATTCATCCATCTCGTCTCTGGTAATTTGGAACATAAAGAATTGTCCTTTTAGTCTATCATCTCATCCAGCAGTACTTACAATTACTAGAAATGAATATTGTCTGTGCTTCCGTCAGTTAAAAATTCAAACACTGCACTCATCCTGGCAATGGTTGGAACAAGATGTAATGCAAGAAAAGGTAGAAGAAGAAAAAAGAGGGCAATCAGCAAGGTGGATGATTCACAGTGGTGGTGAGGGCACTGTTGAAAGAACAGGTTTGGGATAGGTCATCAGGAAGAAAATATATATGATCATTAGAGTAAAAAACAAACAAACTTGATGGCACATAACCAGTCAATCAACTATAATTACAATCCATGGATAGTTTGCCCTGGATATTGTAGATGTGTTACAATACACAATCTTCCTGAGAAATATTATAATTTGCCTTAAGGAACCCTTCATATTTCACAGTAGTTGTGAATGATTCTGAAGTAAATTAGTTGTCACTTCAGACAACATTTAAAAAAACTTATAATTAACTTATGAAATTTAACTGACCTTTCTCTCCTTGCAAATATATTAAACAAAGCTAAAGCGCTGTGCCGCTGTTATTTAACTTTTTGTATTAGTGATATTTTTAAGGTACCTGCTGAGTCAGAATTCCATCATCTATTCCTTACTCATTGCCCTTCATTATACTGATGATACTACTGCTTTGTCTGTTTATGGAGATTCTCAGTCATCCAGGTCATGGTTGTCCCAAAGGTGCTTTTTTCAAGAGGCAACTGGACTTTCTAGTTTTTCTTTGAAGATGTTTCACTTTTCACCCAAGAAGTTTCTTCAGCTCTTCAGCAGCTTCTTGGATGACAAGCAAAACATCTTCAAGAAAACCAGAGAGTCCAGTTGCCTCTTGAAAAAACAACAACTTTTTTTCTGCTTTGTCTATTTTATGATGATACCTCAGAGTTTTATTGCTTCATTTTGCTAGTGGATACTTTGGAATTAACCAAAACAAATATTTTTGGTGTTCTCTTTAAGTCATTAATTAGATTCTATTTTACCTTATGCTTTAAATCCCCAAATTAGATGGATGATTAATGAGAAATTTATTGAATAAGTTAACTATTTTAAGTATTAGGTGTCAGACCTAAACAATTAGCCATATGAGAATTCATTTATTCAATTAGCTGATTTATTGCTCAAGCTTATGTTGCACCTGGGTGAGACTAGATAAAGTTCAACAGTGTGTGTGTTTAGAAGTTTAGAATTCATATTAATAGCTATAGCATAAATTTTCTTATAAATCTAGTTTAATAAAAAAACAATTGATTAAGAGATACTAGTTTAATCAAAATCTTTTTGGATTGGATTAGAATTCATATCATGACTCATTGTAATTGAAAGTATCTGACAAAATTTGAAAAATTACACAATAGCACTAGCACTTAGACATGCTAAGTGCTATTGCACGTGCTTTATAGCCCTCTCTAAGTGGTTTACAGAGTCAGCATATTGCCCCCAACAATCTGGGTCCTCATTTTACTGACCTTGGAAGGATGGAAGACTGAGTCAACCTTGAGCCAGTGAGACCTGAACTGCCAAACTGCTGGCAGTCGGTGATCAGCAGAAGTAGCCTGCAGTACTGCATTCTAACCACTGTGCCACCGTGGCTCAATGGTTTTTAATAATTGTTTTAATGTTTCATTGGCCATTTTCCTCTGGTAATATAAAGTGATACAAAAAAATTCCTTTATGTTTTTAAATATTAAATTTAGTATAAGAACTAGTATTACTAGTATTATTATTATTGAACTTTAAGTCCTTTACTTTTAGCAAGAATTATTTAAAAGTTTGGAAAACAACATTGGCTGAAAAAAATAACACAACTGCAAAGAGTTTTGAAAAATATCTCACTGGATTTTATTCATATATGTTTTCATTTCTTTTATTTGCAGCATTTATTTCTAATAGATAACTTTCCTCATAAGTGTCTTTTTGATAGAATAATTGATTGTAGACACTTATAATCTACCATTTTTATGAATGTACTTATACAGTATATGTCAACTGTGCTTTTAAATATCTTCCACTGGATTTTATTCATATATGTTTTCATTTTTTTTATTTGCAGCATTTATTTCTAATAGACAACTTTCCTCATGAGTGTCTTTTCATAGAATAATTGATTGTAGATATTTATAATCTACCATTTTTATGAATGTACTTATATATCTCAACTATGCTTTTATAACAAATGTTTTATGTGGTTCAGTTTTATGGGTTTCTTGTTTTTGTTTTCTCCTAGTTCTCTTTTTTTTTGTTCAATGTCTGTTTAAATAAAATGAAGTCTGCTAATGAGTTATCAAAAATAGTGAAAGAGTGCTGAGAACAGTGAGGAATTTGTTACATTTGGCAAGAGGTGTTTATAACAAAGTTGGGTGGGCAGTTGCTTCAAATGATTATGTTAAGGCTTGATTTTTTTTATAAAAGAAGCAGCCAACCATAACAAATTGTTTTCAACTTCTATTGTTTTGCTTTCTACCAACATGAAAAAGAAACACAATGTTCTTTGTGTTTTTCTACTTCCATTAAGTCTAACTATAAAGTCTTGCAAATTGTGTTCCACCAATTTATGAGCAAGCTTTTACTATATACACATTTTAAAACTTTTAAGGAAGCATTTTAACTAGTTTCACATGATCATGACTACATAGCGCTTCACTTCATTACAGAACAGCTGTTTGCCAAATCACCATTGCAAAAAAATGGGGTATACTACTTTATACCTTTCTATAAGAGTAGAGTTTTTTAAAAACCTAAATACAATTCATGCTGTACTGTAGATATAATTTTAAAATTACTTTTATTATTATAAAATTATAAATATTTAAATATATGTGTTATATGTATATGCATAGACAAACCTACTTTTCAGGAGATCGTATTCTGGTAATCATAGACATGGGATACCTTAGAAAATTATGCCAGTCTGTTTGTGAGTACCAAAGAGAACCGGAGAGCAGAAATCACTGTTTTTGCAACATTCTTTCTTAATCCTAAATTATTTTCATTATTCTTGAGCTAATGGTGTATTGACTAAATGGTATTTTGTGGTATTCTTATATTTTAAATAGCAAAAAAAAAAAAAAAACCTTAACTAAGAAAACTTAAAAAACCTACCTTTATCTTCAACTTTCAAACTCCTTAAATGTAAGGGAGGAAAAAAATCACATTGTAAGAGCTGCTCAGTAGTTTAATCAATAATCCAATAATGCATTAATACATAATAATGAGGGGGGGGAGACAAACAGGTTCCTGACAATGCCTAGCTAATAAGAAACAGTTCTGGCCATTTTCTGGGCTGTTCCCTCACTCTTGACAAGCAGAGATGGATAGTAGTCAGAAGCATCTCACATTGTTTATCTGCTCATTCTAGTAGAGTTTAATCCTTCCAAAAAAGGAAAACTGTCTATCTGCAATTGTGACAGTAAATACCACTGTCTTCTCTAGATTTAGTTTTAATTTATCTCCTACCTAATTGATTATCACATATAGGCAACCATTTAGGGAGACAGACAGATGTTGCCAAAAAATGAATTGATTATCATCAAATTACCCTGTCCAACATGGCAAATCCAGTATATCCATATATCTATCGGTACATTTGTCCATGAAATACTGGATACATTTCTGGTGATCACAATTGAAAAAGCAAAAAAGTGCAGGAAGGTAAATAAAAGAATAGTGAAATTGTCATTATCCTTTATATGTGAGAAAAAGTTGATTGAGAGTTTTCAACTAAAAAATGACCAAGGGATATATAATCAAGATTTATAAACATTATACATGGAAAATGTAGATGGTTAATCCAGGGGAGATTATTAAAGTTTAGAATATACAAAATAAATTCATTTTTTATGTATTGTATAATAAATGAGGTTAATAATTTTAGATGGAGAGTGATTATATGCACAGCAGACAGTTCTACTGAGAATAGTTAGTCTTGGAAATGTAATGTTATTGCCAATTTAGAGATGGATGTCTTCAAGCACTAGCTGCTTGAGGATAGGGTTATTTAAATGCTTGTCTGTAGTGGAACACGGCACTGAAAACAAAGGCCTCAAATATTGGCTATTAATATTTCTTCAAATATACAAAATATGTAATTCGACCAATTTTTTCTGTCTTTATAGATGTCTCAATGTTCATTGCAACATGAATTAAAAAAGAAAAAGAGATGTGCTCCTCCTCCTCCACCAACTCCTAAAATGCCAAACAGATTTGAAGAAATAGAAAATAAAAGACAAAGTGCAATTGGTAAGGCTGACTAGTTTTGACCCTAGTGCATGTGATCTTTGCTGCTTGCAGGTTGTGTGGTGCATCAACAGTAATCCTAAAATATATCCCAGTTTACAAAATATTACTATTAACATAACAGAATGAAAGTCTGGAAACAATGAAATATTTGATCATTTATTTTTTTAATAGTAATGTTATTAAAATTACAATGAATAAGATAAAAATTAATTTAAAAACACACACCAAGAAATAATGCAGAAAAATAGAAAGAAAACAAGGATATAGTGTAGTTCTTCCTTCATCACAAGTATAAACAATTTTAGTAACTTAACCACCTTTCCTTAAAATATAATCAGTCATCACTTCTCATAACTCATTTTTTTATGTATAAACAAATTTTTCCAGCTTTCACTCCTGAGCAGCAAAAGTCCACTAACGGCTATCAGAGACAACAGTGTATCTATTTGAATAGATAATGATCAGATAAACCACCATTTACTTTTAACAATCTTGATCTTTGGTGCATTCAAATAATATTCTAGAATTTGACTTTTTAAAATGTTTTCCTCTGTCCTTTCTCACAAAATTCTTCAAAGCTTTAACATGTCTTTCTTGCAAATCCATTTAATGCATAAACCTTTATTAGTATGTGCAAATTTTTATGATGTATGTTAATACTTAAGGTGCCTTAAGCACTTTTTTGCACATTTGAATATATTTTTGAAATATATTATCAGTTAATATAATATTTCAATACAAGACTTGTTCTCAACAAAGGTGACAAATGATTTTACAGTCTTTAAATGTATAATTAACAAAGTAGGATTTAGCATGCTTTACTTAACTAGACAAAACCATAGTATTTTGAATAGTATTTATTGATTGGAAAATTTGTAGTCAACACTAATATTAAAATATTAAGATCCACGAATATGGATAAAGTTAGCTGATTTTAACATTTCGTGATCTTTTCCCATGGTCCAAAACATGAGAAACAACAACAACCAAAAAAAAAATCTGCACATCTGTAAAGCTACCTGAAACTCCCATTGTTAGGCAGTTTATACACAACATAAATAATTCTGGCACAAATATTTCAGATCCTGACCTCCTAGTCCAACCCCTGGCTCACTTTCAGACAAGTGGCTGTCCAGTCTCTTCTTAAAAACCTCCAGTGATGAAGTGCCCACAATTTCTGAGGGCAAGCTGTTTCACTGGCTAATTGTTCTCACTGTTAGGAAGTTTCTTCTCAATTCCAAGTTGCTTCTCTCCTTGATTAGTTTCCATCCATTGTTTCTTATCCTGTTCTCTGGTGCTTTGAAAAGTATGTTGACGCCCATCTCTTTGTGGCAACCTCTCAAATACTGGAATACTGCTTTCATGTTCCCCCAGTCCTCCTTTTATCTAAACTAGCCAAACCCAAATCCTGCAACTGTTCTTCATATGTTTGTCTCCAGGCCTTTAATCATCTTAGTTGCTTTTCTTTGTACTTTTTCCACAGTCTCAACATCTTTTTTGTGGTGTGGTGACCAAAACTGAATGCAGTATTCCAGGTGTTGCCTTAGTAAGGTTTTAGAAAGTAGTAGTAATACTTCATTGTATTAGCTTTTTTGATTGCTACCACATATTGCTGGCTCATATATATGATCATCCACTAGAACTCCAAGATCCCTCTCACAGTTTCTATTTCTGAGCCAGGTTTTGCCCAATCTATACTTGTACCTTTGATTTTTCCTGCCTAAATGTAAAACCTTTTTCTCCACATTAATGTCATGTTGTTGGATAGGGTTCGTTGTTCAAGTCTGTAAAGATCTTTTTGGATCCTAAATTTGTCTTCTGGGGTGTTGGCTACTCCTGCCAGCTTAGTGTTATCTGCAAATTTGATGTTCCCCCTTCTATTCCCACATCTAAGTCATTTATGAAGATATTGAAGAGTCCTGGGCCTAAAACGGAACCTTATGGTACCCCACAGCTTACTTCCATCCATGTAGATGTAGTAACTATAAGGATGACTTGTTGAGTACAATTTGTCAGCCAGTTACAAATCTATCTAGTGGTGATATTGTCTATCCCGCATTTTTGTAGTTTACCAAGAAGTAGTTGTGATTTACTTTGTTGAATGCCTTGCTGAAGTCTACGTATACTATGTCTACAGCATTTCTCTGGTCAGTTAATTTTAGTCACTTTGTAAAAGAATGAAATAAGATTGGTTTGGCATGATCTATTTTTAACAAATCCATGCTGGGTTTTAATTATAACTTATTTGTTTCTAGATGTTTGTAGATCTGTGTTTTGATTATTTTTTCCGGTATGTTCCCAGTTATTGATTGGTCTGTATTTTCATCTCATTTCCAATCTTCTGGTAGTTCCCTGGTATTCTACTAGAGTTTTTGAAAAATATGGTACAATAGTTCTGAGATAACATCCACCAGCTCCTTCAGAACTCTGGGATATAATCTGTCAGGTTCCAGTGATTTATATTCATAGAATAGAATAACAGAGTTGGAAGGGACCTTATTCTCTAACCAATTTCTTGCTTATTTTAATTTTTATTTCTAGTCTCTTTTTTACAGTTATGTTTTTAGTAGATTGGGCTAGAGTCTTTTGCATGAAGACTGATGCAAAGAATGATTAAGCAGTTCTGCTTTATCTCTACTGTCTATATCTTCCTTGCCATCTTATCTTTTAATTGGACCTACTGTTTCCTTGACTTTTTTCTTGTTATTTATATGTTGAAATAAACTGTTTTTAATTATCGTTGACTTTCGTTGCAAGTCTTTGTTCATTCTGAGCCTTTGCTGTCCTGTCTTCATCTTTGCAGATTTGGGCTATCTGCTGATACTGTGCCTTAATTATATGTCCCTCTTTCCATTTTTTTGTACTTGTCCTTTTTGCCTTTCAGTTTATCAGAGAGATCTTTGCACAACCACTCTAGTTTCTCCTTATATTTCCTGTTTTTCTATTTCAGTGGTATTGTGCTGGACTGGGCTTTTATGATCATATTTTTTAGTTTCCTGTGTTTCTTAAGTTATTTTTGCCTTTAGGATTTTCATCCATGGAATTTTTCTTAGGCTGTCTCTGAGCCTCTGATAAAATAGCTCTTTTGAAGTTTAAGACACTGGCTGGATTATGTTCTGTTGCTTATATTTGCATTATATTGAATCCCAATATGATGTGGTCACTCTGACCTAAATTTCTGGCAACTCCAACTTCCTCTAGCACTTCACCAGTAAGAATTAGGTCCAGGATAGCTTTTCCTCTAGTTCCCTCCTCTATCTTTTGGATGACACCTAGGTTGGTTAGGAATCTGTTCGATCTCCCACTTGCTCCAGATGTTGTCTCCCAGTTGAAATCAGGGTAGTTATAGTCTCCTATTACTACAGTGGTATATTTTTTACATTCATTTGTTAATTGTTTAGCAAAAAGCATCTATTCCTTCTTGGTTGGGTGGCCAGTAGTATATGCCTATAGGAATGTCATTCTTTTTTTCTTTTATATCAATCCATATGGATTCCAGTAGGTTTTCATCCTTGGTTATATGGATTTCTGTAGAGATGTAGTGATCTTTTATATATAGTGCAACTCCACTTCCCCTTTTATTAGGTCTGTTTCTTTTGAATAGTTTGTATCCTTCTAACAGTACATTTCAGTCATGAGATTCATCCCACCATGTTTCAATAATGGCAACTATATCATATTTACCTTCATACACTAGTACTTAAAGTTAATCTGTTCCCTAAGTTTTGAACATTTGTGTATAGCCATTTCAGTCCTTTATGGGTCTTGGGTATGTTTCTTTTATCTCATACTTTGTATCTGGGGTTTTCATCCTTTCCATCACTCTCTACTTCATTGGGGTTTTTCTTTTTTTCCCTTCTTTCTCTTTACTTCCTGCCTCCTTACATGATTGGTTATCTAGTGGTTTTTGCTTGAAATTAGGTTCTGAAGGTCTTGAAGATTTCCCTTCCCCATAATTCTAGTTTAAAGGTGTTCTGATAAGATGAACCCGTCATTTTCCAAATATAATATTTCCAGTTCCCTTGCCAGTAACCCTTCATGTAGGTAATGCAGACCAAGGTCTAGGAAACAGAAGTTCTCTTGATGACACCAGTTTTTAAGCCAGTGGTTCATTTCTAAAATCCTTTGCTTCCTCATTGGATGTTGACCTTTTGTTGGAAGTGTAAATTGAAATACCACTTGTGCTCCCAATTCTTTAACTTTCTTCCCTAGCTGTTCATAATCTCCTGTTATTGTTTTTGGTTTCATTGTTGTGCCATTGGTCCCCACATGTAGGAAAAGAAAGGGGTAATAATCTGTGGGGTTCATTTTTTTTAATAAGGTTCTCAGTTACATGGTTACCTCACATTTTTGGAAAGTTGGGAGACCAAAGCCCAGAAACACTGTTTATAGTGATAGGGCCAGCTCTTTAGATAGCTTTTGTGATCTGATGTATGTATTTTGTTTGAGTTTTATTTGTCTCACTTTTTATATATCTTGTTAGCAGCTGAGAATTTTGTGATCATGGTAGCACACGATTAAATAAATAGAGATGCAAGTGTAATTTATTGTTTGTACACTTTTTGGTTATGTTGGCAATAATATTTTAATGAAATTATATACCATAAGAGCTATACATAATTCTTAAGATAATATGACAGTTAGAGATATATGAATGGCTCTTTCTGTGTGTTGTGTGTATGCTGATTACAAAGGTCAGGTAGAGAATAATACATGCTAAAAAGAGATTAACCGTGGATTATTTCAAATGACTCATAACCAAACATATCATTTTAAGGAAGCAAGGGTAAATTGCACACTAACTTTTTATGTTGTAATACAGTTATGCCTGCTTTGGAGTTTCAGGTTTCCTTGAAAAATACATTAAAACTGATAAACAGCTAATACTTTGGAGTAGCAATCTCCAAACACTAATCAGAAGGTGATTATGATGTAAATTACTGCAGAGCAGTGTACATTACAGCAAATGTGATAGGCATCTGATTTGATGGTAATAGTAACTAGTGAATTCCAATTGATTCCCCTATAGGTAATGAACAGCAAGCGCCTCAAAAGCCTCCTAGAGGTAACACACGAGATCCACCCCAGTTAGTGATTCCCCCGCCCCCATCATACCCTCCTCCTGACAAAGATACTATGGACCCAGCTGCATTGTACAATGAAGCAGATGTTACAGACCCAACCCAGTTGGTATCTAAAAGTATGTTTGAAAAATTGTCTATTTATTTTTCTTTTCCAGACTTTCCTCTGTTCTGTTTCCAGTCATATACGTGTCCTCCTTATCAATCTTGTTTCCTTCTAAAATTCTTAAATGTATGATATGAACTTGACTAATATATTGAATCAATCAGGCTAAACCATTTTGGGAAGTAGTCATTTAAGATAATGATTTCAGATATGACATTTTTGGCATTTGGATGGCAAAACCTGAGTTCAGTATTTTATTTTATTTTATTTAACTAATTATTTTTCTTACTTTTATGGAATTATATAGTCTACTTCTCATGAAGATAATTGTTGGTGTTACAGTGCTAAATGTCCTTGATGCACCTTAAGAACTTGAATAGAGGACCACTAAACTTTTTTCCCAAATCCTGATTTTTCATAAGAGTATAACAATATTTATTTTAAAAATAATATTGCCTAAATAAATTGAATCAATACAAGAAGCATATAAGAGAAATGAGCAGTTCTCCCAAGTAATAATTAATCTAAAAAAATACAGAAAGAAATGCATTTTTTCTTGCATTTTATTTGAGTTATTTGTAATTGAAATACTAAAATATAATTACATTTGCAGTTTGGAATATAATGAATGGCAAAAGGAAAGAGAAAGAGAATTTAGAAACAGGCTATTACTGGGTCTCTTGGGGCTTCTGGATATTTTATAATATGTGATCAATGACCTACAATGACCATTTTTTTCCCAGAGACATTCCAGTTAGTCTGCTAACTACCTAGGGCCAGCATTTCTCAATATTAGCAACTTTTAAGATGTGTGAATTTCAAATCCCAGAATGCATCAGCTAGCCATGCTGACTGGGGAATTCTGGATATTAAAATTCATTCATCTTAGAGTTGCTGTGATTGAAAAGGATTGACCTGGGCTAAGAGAGGATAAATGAAGGCAACTGGTAAACTTTTTGCAGAAGTAGCCTCTTCCTAGAATCACTGATGACAGTTTGAAAAACATTGGAAGACCCTCTTTGCTGTAGAAGACAATCCATTGTCTTAGCCTCTGTTTCATTCATTCTTCCATATGATTCAGTGAATATTGACAACATAATTTCTATTTCTCATATAATTAAAATGATATATGATTTTTACATGCAGGTCTAGTCTTGAATTTTGTACATGTGATTTATCAAGTACTGAGCAATTGCATCAGATTTTACAAGTGCTTCTGTGGCATATTCAATTAAGTGTGTATTCAATTAATCTGTGTATCATTTGAAATGGTATGGCTACCTTACTTCTGATGTTGCCCTCATCTTATCCCTGCCAATTAGTAAGACAGACTTAAAGTGTTTTCAGTCAATGTAGTATCCAACTGGAACTATGTAGGGGGCGTGCATAAGCGCACCAACGTGCCTACCGTCCCTGTCCTATTGTTTCTCTTATTCTTTTATTTTTCTTATATGTACCCATTTCATGTATTCACAACTATGTATACGCTTATACTTATTATCTTGTAAACAATTGGCAAATAAATAAATAAATAAATAAATAAATAAATAAATAAATAAAATAATTCATGTTAAATCGGATATGATTTGCAACCAAAGTCACAAGTGAAGTCACATGACCAATGGAAGATGGGATTGGAGAAATGCTTACCTTCAGTTCTTGGTTAAGCTTATCTGTCACCAGTTTGCTATTGTCTCCCTGAAAGCAGCAACACATGAAACATACAGAGAATTGCCAGCAACTCAGAGCTCTGTTATTAGCCAGTGCATAATTGCTTTATCCTGCCTTCCTCTTTTTACCTCTTCAAAAAATTAAAAGGAAATAAATATGTTCTGTTCAAGTACAATTCTGCCTTGTTAACATTTGGACCTTTAAATGTTTTGCACACAAATCCCACATTACCCATCCATGTGTAGATTTTTCTGTTTTAGTTTATTAATATGATTTCTTCTATTCTTCTAGCCTAATACCTGATTTGATCAAATTTTCACCTTGTGAAGATTTGTTATGATTGATACATTTATTGCATGTATAGTTGCCGATGTTTTAATTAATTAATAGTTCCATCAAGGCAATTGGGAAGTATATCATACTAAGTTTAGTAGAATTTATTTTAAGATAAATTAGGATAGAGCATAACAGTATTTGTGTCTGTTCAGGAGTAAATAGATACAGGATTGTGGATAGTGAGTATTAAATTAGGACCATTTGAAATATTTCAAAACATGATTCTATTTGGCCACAAGAACCCTATTTGTAGAGATATGCCTGAGGGTGCATGTGCTTGAGTTATGTTCTTGCTGGCAGCAATATCCTCAGAGAATAAGGCACACTGAATCACCCTGTTCTTGTTATTTGATTATTGCTCTTCTCGAGAGTTCCTAGGGTAGTTTAGGGTACATGTGTGTGTATGCACACAGTAAGGTATATACCAACAGCATGCTCTGATTAAATATATTTATTTTGTCCAAGAACATTACATTTAGAATTACTAGTCTTTTGTGAACAAAGATCTAAAAAGATCTTTCACCCTTCTGTGAATATGCATTATATTGAAGTATAACATATTGCAGCTGTCAATTTTAAAAAGTTTATTTGGACAGGGTATAGGTTATTCTTCAAGGATGCTTCCTCACCTTTATTGTTAGCTTCATTAGAAGCTCTTAAACATCTAAAAATATACTTAATGGTAGTAGTATGTATTCCTAGATTGGTAAATTAGGAGTGTGCCTAAAAGTATTTTCAATTTTTAATGCATTATTTGCTTTTTTTCCCTCAACAGTTTATTGTTGTGCATCATTTCCTTCACCTTCCAAGCCCATCTGATACAGTTTGGCTCTTTGCTATGGTGTCCCATCTTTCTGAAAACTGTTGCCTCTGCTGCCTTACCTATCTTTATGTTGCCTTTTCCCTTCATATGGAAGAACCTTCTTCTTACATGAATGACATTTTCAAATCCTTTTTCATTTATGTTATTATTTTGCAGTGACAAATGTTTTCAGCTGCATATATGTTTATGAAACAAATTCTTCCAGGATTTAGTGTATGAGTGATTTTTTGCGTGTTTTTTTAATTACTTAGATGGAGGACATTTCTCAGTTTTGTTGTTGAAGTTGAAAAACTACATTTATGCTATTTTTTCCTTATCTTTCTTTTTTTCAAGTATACATTTACTACTATATAATGTGCTATATCCATATACATTTTATTTCTATTGTTCTATGCAATTGGGCACGCCTTAATGAAGCAAGTTAATGAATGATACATAGTTTTCCAATGAGGTCAGAAAAGTTTTAATAGTATATAGATAAAGTAATATAGACTCTGGGGATTAAGTACACAATAGACAACCCTTGGGTCACCACTTAAGAAATATTCCTCACCAGATTTCTCAGTGCCATCAATAATGGCAGAGCTTTTAATGTACCTGAAAAGTTTTTAAAAATTCAGTGAGATACTCTGAGATGTATCTGTCTTGAATAGTCCATATTAAACTATGTCACAGACAAATATCAGGGGTTGACCACAGCAAATGTTTGATGATATTTTGTATTATGTATTTATATTATGCTCTAAGATCATTTTTATATCATAAAATGGTTTATAAAATTTGTTAAATTTCAATTCCATAGGACTCTGGGATCCTGTATTTTGGATCCATTCTGTAAATTTTCCCCTTTGAGTTACCCTGGTTTGAAAGATTTTGCCTTATGATAAACTGTTTCACCCAGTTAAAGTTTAAAAACAGAAGAGTTTTAATAGTATATAAGTAAATGGTTGTACTGCTAGCCTCACTTAGTTCAAGCACATTTGTTTGTGTAGGATTACATTCCTGCATGTTTATGTAGGAATCAATCTCATTGATTCCAATTGATTTATCCAGAAGTGGTATTAGCAGGCTCTGACCAGTTCTGGAGAACCGGTAGCGGAAATTTTGAGTAGTTTGGAGAACTGGCAAACACCACCTCTGGCTGGAGATGGTACGGTATCCTTCCCCTGCCACGCCCACCAAGCCACGCCCACAGAACCGGTAGTAAAAAAATGTGAATCCCATTACTAGATTTATCTCAGAGTTTTATTAAGAGACCCATACATACTCTATATAAACTTCATTCAGAATAGCAAGATTTCTTTCTGAATAGAGTTGCAGAGTTAATATTATGTTGAACATGGCAGTTCTTTTTTCATGTCACATGAATAAGATCAGCTTGCTTGGCTTCTGCCAGTCAGAACCAACTTCTAGAATTTGCTCAGCATGATCTATAAACCTCATAAAGGATTAGAATTGAAAGCTACAGGTGTTGAAGTAAGTTAGAATTCGAAATGGGAACTATAAAAGATAGAGCATTAACAGACAAATAATAAAAATGCTTCAAAATGTTATCTAATTCTACTTTATTTAAAGGCATATTAACAGAATTTTGCAAGTCTGAAATTACCTGATCTCCCACCATCGTCTTTACAACAAAATAACTTAGGGTGGGTCCCTCTTAAGCCTGTTGCTCTGTTCACTAGGCAGCTCTAGGCTATGCTCCCTCTTATCTGACCATTCCCTAGGCAGCATCTCTTCAGATCAATCCCACATAGCATTACATAGGAAGATATACAGAGGATATAATAAACATAGACTAATTCATTATCTTTCCTGCTTTGCATACTGTTACTGCATTTAAATATCTTGTTGCGGTTCTATTAGCATATGATTAAATATGTTTCTGAATCAAATACCTTCTAAATTGTTTGACGACAAATCTAATTCAATAGAGTTCTTTTTTGTATTAGTTTGAGAAAAATGTTCATTGCTTTTTATGTGTATTTCTGAAAGCAATTTTATTTAGTACTGTTCAATATTTATATAAAAAGCTATAAACATGAACTTTATATATACTAAAAGAACAGAAATAATGTTTAAACTATATTGTGTATTCAAAAGTTTACATATGATTTTGTTTCATATTACTTAATATGCAGCATTGATTTGAAAAACTTGTTCTTTTTAAAAACTTGTTCTTT